TTATACGTTTAGTTTTAATGCAGAATAAATAACCATAATAAAATCATTTTTTACAATTTAGAAAATAATTGTGTTAGACAATATATAAACCATGTGACATCTACTATAAACCAATACCATCCCACTTATTGAGGAATTGAAAACATTTTTATTTATAAAAGACATTCTCCAAGAAGGTCTTACAAATAAGTCCTAAAATATTTCTCCACTTTGCTACTTTTTTCCTTTGCATTGCACTAATAAGTGAAAAGTAAGCAATAGAAATTCATGTTCCTGCTTGAGATAAAGAAAGTACATACATTTGTATAATTTATATTATAATAGTGCCTGCACCCCTACCATCACCAGCAGCTGTAAACTCGAGGTATGAAAGGCCTGCTGCTATATCTTTTCCCACTTGAGATAAGATAGTAGTCTGTATCTATGGTTTACTGGCTATGTGGCATGGAATATGATTGTGAAAGGAGGCATATGACATTTTTTTTTTTTTTTACCTTCTGCATATTGTCATCTTTTCTTATTGGAAGTTTCTTCTAATGTTAATGCCATTCTGTTTTTTCCAATCTAGGTTTATTGCTATATAAATTGTAAGTTGAGGTTACTGGCCATTCATGGTGGTCATATCTGCTGAAGACATAACAGTGTTCTATATTTCAGAAGTACCTTGTGGCCATTTGTGGAAATGCTAAATATTTTGGGTATTGCAAGTGGTGCAAGTTGTGTCATCGGCATACCTTTTTATCCAATTCACATCCCATCCCAATTTCATGCCTCACAAAGGTGAGAAGTCGGACACTATAAAATGCAAATGGCAACTACCTCCAAGCACGTAGAGAAAAAAATGATTCTAAATGGCAGCATCAGTTATAGGGCAACATAAAAATGTACATAAAGCCACCCCTACACCAGGTTTGCAGTAGTTCCTAGTGACAAATTGTCTCGAGACCAGGGTTTCCCAAAGTGTGGGTCACGACCCACCGGTGGGTCGCCGGGTGATTCCCAGTGGGTCACGCTAACCGACGCCTCCAGGGCCGCCGGGGACCTAGGAGACTGTGAGGCAGACTGATTAGTCGGTCCGTGACTGTGGGCCTGACACCAGGAGGGGGCCGGCGGCTTGTCCCGTATACTACAAAGCCCCTCCAATCAGTCTGCCCAGGATCTCCGGTCTGCAGCTCCGCTGGGTGCAGAGCTGCAGACCGTGTGATAAAGGTCTCACGAGCACCCAGAGTGTTAGCATTGCAACACTCTGGGTGCTCGCAAGACTTCTATCTCATGGTGTGCAGTTCTGCACCCAGCGGAGCTGTAGACCAAAGGGGTAACCCACTGGACCACCAGGGAATTTATTATAGTGAAAACAAAGGTAGGAGACAGTCCTCTACACCCTGTTCTCCCCCCCCTCCCCACACTGTCAGCCCTTCTCTCCCGGCCCCCTTCCCACACTGTCACCACTTCTCTCCCTGCCTTGCTCCCCACTCTTTCACCCCTTCTCTCCCTGCCCCCCTCCCTACATTTTAACCCCTTCTCTCCCTGCCCCCACCCCACACTGTAACCCCTTCTCTTCCTGCCCCCTCCCCACACTGTCACCCCTTATCTCCCTGATCCCCTCCCCACACTGTCACCCCTTCTCTCCCTGCCCCCTACATACAAACACCCCTTACATTCAGACGCAAACATTACAAACAAGTACACCACTACATTACAATTGTAACAGTACATACAAATACATCCATACATGAACACATATACTTAATACAATAACATGCTTACATTCAAATGCTCAAACACTGCTTACAATTATAACCCTGCAACGATGGGCAAATGGAAGATCCCCAGCTGGCATAGCATTGTTGAAGTTCTCCGACAGATGGGGATCTACCTTTTGGCCACACTTGCACTAGAGGGGGCCTCGAAAACATACTTGTCCCAGGGCCCTGTCTACATTAGTTCCACCAATGGGATAATCAATGTGAGGTGCCAGGATGAAAGAGCGGGAGAAAGTACTTCTGATTCTGACTGAGTCTGTCAGGAAGCATTTGTATGCCTCTAAAACTGATTGCCATGATATTCCAAGTTTCTGCCTCTAAAACTACCATGAAATGCCAAGTTTCTGCCTCTAAAACTGCTATGATATACCAAAATTATGCCTCTAAAACTGCTATGATATCCCAGAATTATGCCTCAAAAACTGCCATGATATGCCAAATTATGCCTTTAAAATGCCATGATATGACAATTTTATGCATCTAAAGCTGATTTACATTGTGTGCCAACTGTACGCATATAAAGGTGATTGCCATGGTTTGCCAATTGTATGCCTCTAATGCTGATTGCCGTGGTGTGCCATTTGTTTGCCTCTAAAGCTGCCATGATGTGTCAACTTTATGCATCTAAGACTGTTTGTCATGTTGTGCCATTTGTATTCTTTTAAAACTGCCATGGAGTGCCAATTTTATGCATCTGACTGTTTGCCATGGTGTACCAAATGTATGCCTCTAAAGCTGATTGCCATGATGTGCCAAGTCTATGCCTCTAAAAGTGATTGCCATGATGTGCCAAGTTTATGCATCTAAAAGTGATTGCCATGATGTGCCAAGTTTATGTATTTAAAGCTGCCATGATGTTCCAGTTGTGTGCCTCTAAAACTGATTGCCATGGTGTGTCAATTTTATGCATCTAAAGCTGGTTTCCATGGTGTGCCAATTGTAAGCCTCTAAAACTGATTGCCATAGTGTGCCACTTTTATGCACCTAAAGTTGCCATGATGTGCTAATTTCTATCAATCGACAGCTACCATAGTGTGCCAATTGTATGCCTGTAAAAATGATTGTCATGGTGTGCCAATCATATGCCTCTAAAACTGATTGCCATGGTGTGCCAATTGTATGCCTCTAAAGCAGATGGCCATGATGGTAATTTTTAAAATATGCATTAAAAGCGAGTCTAGAAAAATTACTGTTTTCAAAAGTGGGTCTTGGCCCATAAAGGTTTGGGAGGCCCTGCTCTAAACAATCCCCAAATATTAACAGTCAAACATTTTTGTGTGTCCTTTTTAAAAGTTTCCAAAGATACTTTGATAATGATCACAGACTATTTATTGTAAAGACACTTTCTGAGTAATCTAGTAATCTCATAAAACAGCACAATATTACTTTTATCGTGTAAACTAGTAACTATGGTAAAACTCTATATTTAGATGAGGTTAAGCAACACTTTGAGATTTAATATGAGTCACATAGTTTCCTCAGCATCTCTCATTACGAACTTTCTCTGGTTTCCCAAAATGTATGACGTCTTGTAGTAAATAAATGCAAGTTTTATATTTTTACACATGGTACCTACTACATGTCTGAGATTTTTGTTTTCATATATTTTCGTTTTCTTCCAAGTTTACTTTCTTTACTGTTACCTTCTTCAATGCAATTTTTTGCACACACATTATTTTATTCTGTATAGTCTATCAGAATTTACTGTACATGTAAATTTTAATGAATTTGTTCTTACTCTGCCCCCCTTTCCCCAGTAGTACAAACTGTTACCTCACTGTCAGTGGCGTACACATCACCCATGCAGCCCCGGTGCAAAACTGATCCATGGGGGCCCCCTCCCTCTTCCCCCCCCTCTAACACCTCCCCGACAGACACACACACACACATACATACACACATGACACATACATATAAAGACACATACATACAAACAGACAGGCACACATACATACAGACACACACACAGACACATACATACACACATACATACAGACACACACACACACAAGACACACATAGATACAAAGACACATACATACATAAAACAGACACATATACATACATACCTACATATAAGGCAAAGGCACAGGAAAGGTTTTTTTACTGTAAGAACAATATGGATGTGAAATTCTCTGCCTGAAGAAGTGGTTTTATCAGAGTCCATACAGATGTTCAAACAGCTACTAGTTGCATACTTGCAAAAACAGAATATTCAAGGATATAATCTTTCAATGTAGGGTAATAACTGCTTGATCCAAGGATAAATCTGACTGCCATTCTGGGTTCAAGAACAAATTTTTTTCCTAGTTAGTTGCAGAATTGGAAGTGCTTCAAACTGGGTTTTTTGCCTTCTTTTGGATCAACAGCAAAAAACAAACGTGAGGAAGGCTGAACTTCATGTAACTATGTAGCTATGTAATATATACAGACAGACAGACAGACACACACACATACATACAATCATACAAACAGACAAGCACACATACATACAGACAGATAGACAGACACATACAGACAGACACGCACACACATAATATTTAAGTCACCCTCCTGTTTCATACCTTTTAGGTGCAGGAGGGTGACTTTCCCTGGGGTCCAGTGGCGGCTCAGGTTGATGGGAGGCAGAGTTCATACTCTGACTCCCTCTGCTTCCTCCCGCGCGGGCTCTCAGTGATAGCTGGGAGGAGGGACGGTGAGTCACTTCCTCCCAGCATGTAATGATCTCATCACAGGGGGCCCGGTCGTGCTGTTAGAGCGCCGCAGCGCTGACCGGGCCCCTAACAATCCATCTCCTTCGGGTGGCCCTGACAGCCAGGGGCGGACTGAGAGCCTTTGGGGCCCCCGGGCAAAATTAGATCCCAGGCCCTCTGAAGGCCAAATATATGTGCATTAAATAAATGTTAAATATAATTCATAATACGGCATTCCTTTGGATGTGTGTATTGTGAAGACCTGTGTATCAATGCATGTTTGTATTTGAGTCTGTGTGAATGCACTTGTGCATGTCTGGATGACTAAATGTGCTTTTTTGTATATAGGGTCAGTGTGAATGCATATGACAAGTGACAGAGTGTGTGAGGGAGAAGGTGACAGGTGGAAGAGTGTGGGAGGTTGTGACAGGTGGCAGAGTGAGGGAGGGGTTGAGTGGTGGCAGAGTGAGGGGGGGACAGTGAGTGGGTGTGACTGGTGACAGAGTGAGGGAGTGGGTGACTAGTGACAGAGGGAGGGAGATAGGGGTGACTAGTGACAGAGTGAGGGAATGGGTGACTAGTGGCAGAGTGAGGGAGGGAAGAGATGACTAGTGGCAGAGTGAGGGAGGGAAGGGGTGACTAGTGACAGAGTGAGGGGGGGTGACTGTCACTAGTCACCCCATCCCTCTCTCTGTCACTAGTCACTCCCTCCCTAACTCTGTCACTGTGTCACCCGCTCCCTCACTCTGTCACTGTGTCACCCGCTCCCTCACTCTGTCACTGTGTCACCCCATCACCCCATCCCTCTCTCTGTCACTAGTCACCCCATCCCTCTCTCTGTCACTGTGAAGGAAGGAAGGGGTGACTGGTGACAGAGTGAGGGAAGGGATGACTAGTGGCAGAGTGAGGGAAGGAAGGGATGACTGGTGACAGAGTGAGAGAGGGGGTGACTAGTGACAGAGTGAAAGAGGGGGTGACTGTCACTAGTCACCCCATCCCTCACTCTGTCACTAGTCACCCCCTCTCTCACTCTGTCACTAGTCACCCCCTTCCCTCTCTCTGTCACTCCCTCACTCTGTCACTAGAGTGAGGGAAGGGGTGACTAGTGGCAGAGTGAGGGAAGGAAGGGGTGACTAGTGACAAAGTGAGGGAGGTGGTGACTGTCACTAGTCACCACCTCCCTCACTCTGTCACTAGTCACCACCTCCCTCTGTCACTACTCCCTCCCTCTGTCACTAGTCACCCCCTCCCTCACTCTGTCACCTGTCACCCCCTCACTCTGTCACTAGTCACCCCCTCACTCTAGTGACAGAGTGAGGGACGGGGTGACTAGTGACAGAGTGAGAGAGAGGGTGACTAGTGACAGAGTGAGGAAGGGGGTGACACAGTGACAGAGTGAGGGAGGGGGTGACTGGTGACAGTGGGTGACTGGTGACAGTGAGGGGGGGGTGACTGGTGACAGTGAGGGGGGGTGACTAGTGACAGTGAGGGGGTGACAGTGAGGATGGGTGACTAGTGACAGTGGGGGGACTAGTGACAGTGAGGGGGGTGGCTGGTGACAGTGAGGGGGTGACTGGTGACAGTGAGGGGGTGGTGACTGGTGACGGATGAGGGGGTGACTGGTGACGGTAGGGTGACTGGTGACAGTGAGGGGTGACTAGTGACAGTGAGGGGGGTGACAGTGAGGTGGGTGACTGTGACAGTGGGGGTGACTAGTGACAGTGAGGGGGGGTGATTGGTGACAGTGAGGGGGGTGACTGGTGACAGTGAGGGGTGACTAGTTACAGTGAGGGGGTGACAGTGAGGTGGGTGACTAGTGACAGTGGGGGGGTGGGGAGTGAGGCAGTGAGGGGGGTGATTGGTGACAGTGAGGGGGTGACTGGTGACAGTGAGGGGGGGTGACTGGTGACAGTGAGGGTGGGTGACTAGGTGACAGTGAGGGGGGGGTGATTGGTGCCTACCTGTCTCTCTGCTTCCTCTCCCAGGCTGCAGCTCCTTCCCCTCCTGGCTCTGTGTGAAAGGAGTAAACAGGAAGTGAGGTCACTTCCTGGCCCCGCCTCTCCCATCACACAGAGCCGCATGGGAGAGGAAGCGGAGACCTGGCAGGGAGGAGGTGAAGCTGCCAGGTCTCATGGGGAAAGGGGGGGAGTGTGAATAGCAGAGCGGTAGATTGTGGGGGCCCCGCGCTGCATCAGGGGCCCCACAACCTATCAATGAAAACGTTTTATTTTATTATTTTTTGCCGTTCCAGTTGGAGAGATCTCAGATCTCTCCAGCTGGAACAAGGCTGTGCTGCCGGGCCCCTGACTGCCTCGGGCCCTCGGTCCGTGACCGATATGCCCGAGTGGTCAGTCCGCCCCTGCTGACAGCATGGGCCACCTGATGGGTACCTTAACATGCGGCCCGGTGACATGCCCGGTCACAGCTGCGACCCCTGCGACCGCTGTATGTACGCCAGTGCTCACTGTCATCTCTATGTATTCTATCCCATCTAGAGACCTCACACCATACACAGTAAGAGCAATAACCTTCATTTTCTCAAAGCACTTCCTACCCATCCTCCCATCATTTACCCATCCTGCTCTCTGCTTCCTTTTTAGCATGTTTCCCTGTGTTTGGCATCTAATTATCTCCTCAATCAAATAATATATTAGCAGTCTGTGCGAATGCTCTCAATTACCCCCTGCCTATTACCTATACATTTACACTGCTCCTTCTTGTTTCAAGTCCCCATTGCAACCTTTAGATTGTAAGCTCACAAGTCTAGTTGTATAAAGAGCTGTAACATGGGCAGGGTACTCTATTCCTTTTGTATATTGGTTTGTCTATACTGTACTGTCTATTTTCCTTGACTGTATAGCGTTCTAGAACATTTTGGCTCCTTAAAAACACCAGTACTAATAATACATATAACTATAATAATAATTTAAAGAACTACTAACCCGTTGATTGATTTAGCAGCAAACACTCAACATTTCTTGTGATTCCTGATGGAAGACAAAACTTTTCCTTTTGCTACAAAAAACTGTCGATCTGCCCTGCAGAGTACTAAATTAATGGGAAATGTCATGAGTGCAATTTCTGAGCTACACTTTCTTCTCCAGTGAGCATACTGGAAGACTAACTGATATTTTGTAGACAGGAACATCGAACGATATCAGAATAAATGAGGTGAACAGAAGCGTAATGTCCAAATTATAGTGTCTAGTTTCCAACAGTTTTCCTTTCTGAAATACTTTCCAGAGAAATGCATTACTGATTCTACTAATGATAGTCGGTTCATTGTGCCGGAAAAGCCGAAACACACTGGAGCTTCTTCAAATTAAAAGGCTAATCTAGTATGTGTTTTCCTTAGTTGACTTGTATGGCCTTAATAGAGTGGGTTATCTGTATATTGTGTTTATACTGTTTATTTTAACAAATACAATGTGTATTCACTTCTTTAATAAGGAAGATTCATAGTGATACTCAACACACACTTGACAATTTTTTTTTCTTTTTAAATATGAGACAGAATATGCCTTTAGCCCACTAGTTTTATTACTCATTTGTAAATGTTCCATCTTTATAGTCCTAAAACTAATGGCAACTGCTAGTTATTAATTAATTGGATATGAGGAGATATTTATATATATATCCTCTGTGGATACTAAGTATTCATTTTTCATTTTACAAATAGTGCAGATTTATTTAAAAATAAGCACTTTTCAACATGTAGATATCCCAAGCTCTCTATTAACAATCAAAGCAAAATATAATAAACATAGAAAGTAAATATAAATATGAAAAAACAACAAAGCAAAATGAGTTTTAGATATGAGTCCAAAAAAATTGCAAAGGTTAACGACAAGGAGGATTATGTGGTAAGCAGTGTCCAGACGAGCAAAGTAAAGTAAGAGCAAAGTATCAATTTAATGGGTTATCCGGTAAGTAATGTCCAGATAAGCAAGATATCTTTCCATAAACAGGATAATACATAAACAGAGTATAACAAAAATGACCTAATGCAAAGACGCTTTTAAATAGCGGGGTCGTACCCTGGATTGGCTCTGCTCCTTTGTAGAAACATATCACCTGTGCTTCCTACAGGTGTTATACAAAATAACCAAGAATGGAACCCAGTAAAGTAACAGGTAACCCAGGAAAGATTCAGGAATCCTTCCAGTAGAACAAGTTCCACAATGGCATATTGAGTGTGCTAACAGCAGCAAAAAGTGGGACACTGGGGTCCAAATAACATTAGAGTCAGCAGGTGCTGTACTTCCTTCTTTACTTTTTGATCAGGGGCTTGGCAGGGACATTACTAAGTTCTGGAAACACCTGGGATTGAGATCAAAGGAAATTTCATAGGAAAACTCAATGCACTTAGAAGATTTGGAATTTGGACTTTTTTCAAAAGGAGGGTAACAGTTCATTTAAAGGAACACTAGAGTCAACCATAGGGTTAAAATGCTTTCCTGTGAGTGCCTGTAGTGTACATATAGCACTCGTTTCTTATAGTATCCTTGTTGTCTTTAATTCCTGTTCAGTATATAAATATTCATGTAAAATATTTTTTCGAGTGGGTTTTTTTATTTTGTGTTTGTAAATTATATAGCAAAAAAAAAAAAAAGAGTTCACAGGCAAAAGGTCATGAGTAAGTAATGCTTCTCCACATGGGAAACTTGGTAAAAAAAATATAATAACATCAAGTTGTTTAATTTACTGCATACAAATAAAATACACAATGTGTTCTATACAAATAATTGTTTGAACCAAGGATTTCATTATTAATCTGTGAAGACTGCTGAATTTAGGGTCAACTTGAAGGTTGATTATGTACAAGATGCACAAAGCTTGTTCTGCCAATGCTATTGAAAGAAGCAAGTAATTTAGATTCAGAATTGGTCCTGGTTTGAAGCTCACTCCATTACAGACCATTTTCAATTTCAACTTTACAATAAATATCAAGCTCAGCAAGGAAATTAGTACACTTGGTATGTATTGGGAAAGATGGGAGGGTCTTTGACGAGATGACACTTATCACCAAAGCTTCAGTTAATGAAAACCTTGAGTGGTATCTACGTTTGACATATTTTGACATTTTTTGAAATCACATCCAGTGTGTTTTTTTTTAATACCCATAATGTTCTGCTTTATGAGAAAAAAAAATATCCATCTAGCTTTCAAATGAGCACCGAAGAACAGCAATATTAATGGAAAAAAAATATATTTTTTACATTACTGGCAATTCGATTTTTTGAGACCTATGAGATTAATTTAAAGATAGCAAAATAATTTAAATAATATTGCAAAATAATTTAAATAATATTATCAGGGACTGGCATGAGACAATGCATATCCCTATGCAAAATGACAAATTTACTGCCCTTTTCATTAATAACGGTGTCGATAGTGTATATTTTTTCTAAACAGTCACTCAACTTATTTATATAAACTATACAACAGTATTGCCATTTAGAAACTGACTGTGCAATCAGTATTTAAGGAGTTTATGGCAATTATACGATATGTGAATAAAAGCGATTGTTTTAAATAGCTAGAGATAAGTACACACTCATGATCAAGAAAAAGACGGTGGGACTTAAATGATACAGTTTTTTTGTTAACATGTAAAAAATAAATACACACAATTATGTTCAGCACATATGTATGCATGAATCTTCTTACATGCATCTAATATTTACTTTAATCATGCTAATAAATGTATAGCGGTTTGCTTATGTACTTACAATATGAGACTAAACAAAAAATTTCACTGGCGTTGTTTGCATTAGTTAACATTGAGTACTGGCATGTGCCAGTTTTTTATTCATTCTCAGTGCTTTATTTACTGTGAGTACCTAAATGCCCCGAAAACGTTAACAGATGCCTTGTTAGCATCATGTCATTGATGGTCCAAGAGCCGGTCAGCTGACCACCTTGTGTGTGTGTCAGTCAGTGAGTGTGTCTGTCAGTCAGTGAATGTGTGTGTTAGCAAATGTTTGTTAGTGAATGTGTGTGTATGTTTCTGTCAGTGAGTATGTGTGTGTGTGTTTCTGTCAGTGAATGTGTCTGTCATTGACTGTATGTGTTTCTGTCAGTGAGTGTGTGTGTCAGTCAATTTGTGTATGTCACGTATGTATCAGTGAGTGCATGAATCTATCAGTCAAAGTGTTTGTTTGTCTTAAACAGGATGGGGTGTGGCCTTGATAGGAAGTGGTGTGGCAAATTAAATTAGGGAGGTGCCCAAGTTTAGTCATGCTTAGGGTAGCACAAAGCCAAAATACACTACTGTTTATGACCAATCAGGTCCACACTGTGTTTACCACACAACTTTTTGAGCGGTTGAGGAGATAAAAGAGAGACATACATTTATTGACACCTAATACTATATATTTTACATTATTTTATGATGTCTGGAGAGTAAAGCACTCAAAGAGAGTAAAGGACAAAAAAGATTTTGCATTCTATTCTAAACCTCAGTTATCATATTCAAGATTGGATTATTTTTTGATTAAGGCACAGGTGGTTCAAATGTTACATGGTCAGACAACTTGGCTGTGGTTCTACATATAGACATAGATACAGACCATAAAACTAGATCTACCTGGAAGTTAAATGAGAGATTATTGTCTGACACCGCAGTTGTTGAATATGTATCTGATAAGATAAATTTGTACTTTAAAGAAGATATGACACAATAGTTACCAGCATCAATGATATGGTGTGCTTTCAAGAGTGTAACCCGTTGATATCTTATTAAATTAGGGTCAGAAAAGAAAAAGAAACAGGGCTTATCCCTTATTCAATTGTATACTGAATTATATAATGTAAATAAGATCGTATATATATATATATATATATATATATATATATATATATATACAGTCATGGAAAAGAGAAATTACACCCTCTTTGAATTATATGGTTTACAAATCAGGACATAATAACAATCATCTGTTACTTAGCAGGTCTTAAAATTAGGTGAACACAACCTCAGATGAACAACAACTCATCATGACACATTACACTGTGTCATGATTTATTTAACAAAAATAAAGCCAAAATGGATAAGCTATGTGTGAAAACTAAGTACACCCTTACTGCTTTGATATACATTAAGAGGGTAAGTAGCATAAAGGTGCTGATAATCAAATATCCTTGATTAATTGATCCTTAGCAAGTTTGGCCACCTCTATAAGAGCCGAAGATTTTGCAGCTTGTTGACCTGGATCATTCAGGTGTGTGTTAACACAGTGCTAAGGAGGTAATACATCAGCCATGATCTTAGATAAGCTATTGTTGCTGCCTGTAAAACTGGGCAGGGTTATAATGCTATTTCAAATAATTTGAAGCAAATCATTCTACAGTGAGAAAGATTATTCAAAAGTGGAAAACCTTCAAGACCCTTCCAATCTTACCAGGAGTGGACATCCCAGCAAATTCACCCCCAGGTTAGAATGTTAAATGTTAACGCTTATGAGAGTACAATTAGAAAAATACTGAACAAGTATGGTTTGCTTGGAAGGGCTGTCAGTAGAAAGCCCTTCTCTCTAAAAAGAACACTCCAGTATGGTTTAGGTTTGCAAAATTGCATCTGAACAAACCACAAGACTTCTGGAACAATGTCCTTTGGACAGACGAGACCAAGGTGGAGATGTTTGGCCATAGTACACAGTGCCACATTTGGCAAAAAACAACTTTAAGACTCTAATCCCATATGGTCTATATTCCGATTTTGAAGTCTGCCATTTTAAAATAATATGTTCCAATACAATTAGTATTTTATGTCAATGTTTTTATATTTCTAATTTAAAAGTCCACTTTCAATTCATATACATTTTTTATTTATTATTTATATTAGAATTTATACTAATATTCCCTCTTTTTTATACCATTTTTTAACCACAAAGTTTTTTTTTAGATTTCTACCCACTATTAATATAAATCAATAGCCCACAAGGGCTTATGGGTTAATTTACATAAATATTTTAGATTAATTATACCAAACATTTCCATTCTATATCCTCTTCCTTAGAACTATTCATCTATATAACACTCATTTTAATGTCTCACCAATATCCTATTTCTTTTTGCATCCACAAATTAACATATTATTTTTTTGTTTGTTTGTTTATGTATATACCTCATTTTCTATATATTATGTAAACTAGATCGAAATATGATTTTCTTTCTTTTTAATTGTATCTCCCTATCTCTCCTCCCTCTATATTATGGACAAATATGAACATACCCAATTGGTGGAATGCAATTTTGCGATCTAAATGAACTGAACAATTATTGGGAAGTAAATTGACTGCAGTGGAATGCATAGAAGAGGAGTAGGACGGATGCTAATGACGACCAACAAAGCATTCCAACAGTGGAACGCATAAACCGGAACCGGAAATGAACTGTGGATGAACGCCGCCAAAGAAGAACTACACAGAGAACAGACCAGCAGCAACTGAGGAAGCCTCCTTGAGAGGCGAAAAGCGTTTTGCTAAGGACTTACACACATACCATAAGGACTTACCTTTTAAACTGTAAGATTTTGATTTTATACTTATATAAATTTTATACTCAACCTGTGTGCACTTTATTACCAATAAAGCACTTTACACCCATATCGACATCTGAGATTTCTATCAGAAAGTGGGAATCACCCCAACATTTAAAGAAGGAAGTGGGAACCTTTATATCCCACAAAGCTGGAAGCTTGAGCCCTATCTATATTGGCTTTATACTTGTGAGTGTAATTACACTAATCTTTTGCCCTATTTTATATACCACAGGCAATATTGCACTATTGTTTACTCTTTTGTATTGCATTTTAGGACTGTACATATCAAAGAATTGCCTACAGAAATATAGGAAAGATACTCCACCTTGTATGTATTGAAAAAAACAAAAAACGTATATGAGCACACAGGGCCACCATCAGGGGGTGACAACCATGCAACCAGTATATCAGCGCCCTGGGCCCCATGTGTAGCGGCGGAACTGCCTCCGGTACACCTGCACCAGGGCCAGCGCACTAATAGGCCACCCGAACGGCCCTATATCTTCAGGGGCCTGGTCAGTGCTGTAGCCTTTAAAAATGTCAGCAACAGCAATTGCTAGGAGGAAGTGATGGCCAGTCACTTCCTCTCAGCTTACTCCACGTGGGAGGGAGGAGGCAGAGCGAGACAGTGAGGAGGGGAGAGCCTGCAGACTCCCATCAGCCTTCTGCAAGAAAAGGTAAGAAACAGGAGGGTGGCTGAAAAATTAGCTATTTGTGTGTGTGTCAGTATGTATGTGTGTATTCATATGTATGTATGTGTCTGTATGTATGTATGTATGTGTCTGTATGTATGTCAGTATGTATGTATGTCAGTATGTGTGTATGCCAGGATGTATGTATATGTATGTATGTGTCTGTATGTATGTTTGTATGTATATTTATGTATGTATGTGTCCGTATGTATGTCAGTATATATGTATGTATGTGTGTGTATGTATGTCAGTATGTATGTGTGTGTCTGTATGTCCTTATGCATGTGCGTGTGTCTGTATGGATGTTTGTATGTATCTATGTATCACTATGTATATCTGTGTGTCTGTCTGTTTCAGTATGTGTGTGTTAGTATGTATGCCTGTATGTGTGTATGTCTCTTTCAGTATGTGTGTCTGTCAGTATGTATGTATGTGTCAGTATGTGTGTATCTTTGTGTGTGTGTGTATCTGTGTCCTTTTGTATCAGTGCGTATGTCTGTGTGTGTATTTTGTGTCAATGTTTGAGTCTGTGTATGTGTGTGTTGGTATATATGTATGTGTGTGTGTGTGTGTATATATGTGTGTCAGTGTGTGTATCTGTGTGCCTGTGTATTTGCATGTGTGTCAGTGTATGTGTCTGAGTATCAGTGTGTGTGGAAGTATATACACTACACACAAATGCACACCTGCATTCAAACACCAACATTCACACACATACTCCATACAAAAACATACTTACATTCAAACACAAATTGTGTGTGTATAAACACACATACACACACACACATACTACACACAGTGCATCCACTACACATGCACTAACACACACTGCAGCCAATACACAAACATACTGTCAAGGTTATAACTCCCCAACACGCAAACCAGAGAACAATAAAGGCGAACACAGATAGACGTATTACCAGACCTTAAAGTGGCCGGACTTAACGTAGGAACGAGTGATAACAATAGTCAAACACGCCAAGGTCAGGAATACAGAGATACGGGAAAGCGAAATAGATAGAGCCAAGGTCAGGGAGCCAGAAATGAGAATAACCAATAAACAAGCCGAAGTCAGGAACCAGAGAAAAGACAACTACTCAGAATGCACTCTCGGCTATAATAAACCACGACAGGGCAAGGAAGTGATGTCAGAAGGAGGTTAATATAGGGCAAGGTGAATACTGATATGCAGGGACAGAATTGAAGGAGGTATAAATAGATAGTGGCAATAGACCACTATCTCTTTAAATTTGGAGTCCACGTCATCCCTGCCAGTTACCTTGTGTGCGCGTGCGCATGTCCCCGGGCGCTCTCCCAGATGCGCCCTCCCCCCCGGAGGCGCACGCGTGTGACGCCTGCCAATGATCCACACCGCCCGACATGAGAGGACAGACGGCGGGACCGGGACAGACCGGGACACTAGGTATGACACATACACTGCATCCACAAAACACACACCCTATATCCACTCTACAAATACTGCTTCCTTGTGGGTGGATTTGGAGGTGGCACCTGGGGCCAGGCCCCTGGGGGCCCAGTCCTTGAGCTGTGTTAGGGGCCCCAAAATTTCTGATGGCGGCGCTGTCAGCATACACAGTATATCAGACATCTCATGCCAATACTCAAACACAATGGGTGATGATTTGGGCTTGTTTTGCAGCCTGGGAACTTTGTAGTCATTGAGTCGACCATGAATTCCTCTGTATACCAAAGTATTCTAGAGTCAAATATAAGGCCATCTAAAGGTTGGCCGAAACTGGGTCATGCAACAGGACAATGATCCAGAGAACAATTCTGAAAAAGAAAAGAATCATGGTGTTGCAATGGCCTAGTCAAAGTCCAGACCTCAACCTGATTGAAATTCTGTGGCTGTACCTCAAAAGAGTTGAGTATAAACAAATGCCAGCAAACTGAAGCAAAGTTATGAAGAAGAGTGGGCCAAAATTCCTCAACAGCAATGTGAGAGACTGACAAAGTCAAACATAAAATCATTACCTCAAGTTATTACTGCTAAAAGTGGCTCTAACAACTATTGAAGCATAAGGTGTACTTAGTTTTTCACACATGGCTTCTCCATTTTGGCTTTATTTTTGCTAAATAAACAATGACATGGTGTAATATGTCATGTTTTGTTGTTCATCTGAGGTTGTATTTACCGAATTTTAAGAGCTGGTCAGGAACAGATAATGATGTCCTGATGTGTATAATCATAGAATTCAAAGATGACACACATTATATATTTACAACACTGTTTCATTATCTCTATCCTTTGTTATATGCTTTTTTTTCTGTCCATTCAATATTTTCATTTGGTTTCCATCAAATCATATGCTATCTATACATATTAAAATGAAAAATACATTTAAACATTACTTTCCAGGACACCCAAAATTCTGGTGGTGTTTTTTGTTTTTCCCCCAAACCGTTTGGTAGTGATGGGGTTAACCAACATATTCCAGAATGTAACGGCACATTAATAATTTCCAGAACCCGACAGTGAAGTAGTTAATGGGATGTTCACATGTCATGCTTGTTCTACTGAAGTTGCATTGTGCCACTTCAATGAAGTAGAAGATTTAAATTCATATTTCTTGGTGTGTGTGAAATATCTTTTCAAAGCTTCAAACAGAAGTGACAGATGGTTTCTAGTGATTTTCCAGACATATGCCATAATCTTGTACGGTTTCTTTAATATACAAGGTCTGTAATAAATGATTTTTAGGTAGACAAGTGAAAGTGGTAAGGAAAATAATCTCTTAAACTTTTGTGGCCAGCAATGTGTAAATTACAAACAGCTTTGTTTACATGTTTAATTACTCCAGGAATCAGGAATATTCAATTTCAATATTTCTAAATATAAACATATTTCTATATGACGTTATAGCTCTGAACCATTCACCAAAAGCCACTAAAAGAGATACTCTTAGCCAGGG